TTGTCAATACAAAATGGTGATACTATTTGTAGATGTATCTGAAAGCGTCCCAAAAAAAATCAAAAAAAATCTGGTCAAATACACATCTAGAAAGTAGAGCGTTCAGCGTAAGTCTTGAGGCTTACAATGCTTAAAAAAATCGGTTTTCGATACCAGCGGTGAGAAGAGCACACATAGCTTATTGTGTTGCTTTGTGATTTACAGCAATAACAATAAAGTAAAATGATATAACAGACGGACAAGATACTCCTAAAGAACTAAATAACTTTGAAAGAAGTAGTGAGACGAGTAAGAAAATAAAAAATACAAACATAAAGATACCTTTGATATAATTTGAATCGCAATTCTAATGGTGTGATTGTTGTTGTTCTTATTTTTTCAGATTAAATTTCTGTTGGCACGACCAGATTTTTATATGTGTGTCATAAAAATATAATCCAAGGTACGCTACTGTAATGGAAATGCACTTAAATATATTTGTCAATATTATATTTTACTTTGGTAGTAAAAACTTGAAATAAAAGTACTCAACACATACTATATTTGTCAGAAGTATAGCCTCGAAGGGTGACTGTATTTTTATAAGGCATGTTAGCGTCTTGTAAGCCAGCATAAATAAGGCATGTTAGCGTATTGTAAGCCAGCATAAATCATGAATAATATGTGTTGTGGCAACTAACGAATGTAATAAACTATTTAGAGAAAAATTTTCCATTATAAATCAAATGCGTAAATGGATTGGGATTATCATCATGCCTTTGCTTGTGATTTACTAATAACAGACTTTGTAATTAAAAAAAAAAAAACGGAAGTTTTCTTGATTTATAGCGAAGCTACATTGGGCTATCTACTGTGTCTACCGCGGAGAATTGAAGTCCGGATTTTAGCGTTTTAAGTCTAACCGCTGTCCCACCTGGGGACAAAACGGAAGTTATATTGAATCATTTAGTGCATGGTTGGCATAACGTATTTTTATTAAGTAATTCATAAATGTTTTTGATCTAACGTTTTTGTTCTGATTAATATAAAACTTACTCATTAAAAGTGCTTAGCTTGTAGTTTCAAATGAGTTTGGTACGGTACAGTTTTGTTATTTTCGTTCAGTAAATTAAAATACTAGTTATGAACAAAACTTCCATTTTTTTATAAAAGCTACCCGAACGTTATCATGATAAATTAAGAACCTACGTTAGTATCTTCTCATCTTCAAGTGAAATGCCGTAGGACAAGATGTTAGTTACTATCTTAGAATTTAGCCAGTAAGATTATGTATACGCTGTTGGATTATTTTTAACGACTCCAAATGTGGATTCATAGTAAACATACTTTTCAAAACAATTTTTTCTAAACCTCTGTTACTTTTTTTATTTAAAAGTAAATTAATACAATGTTTTGCTTTTGTCTGAGGATGTGTTGTTTTAAGTTATTATGCAAATAAATTGAAACGAAAATAAAAGTAACCCTTTCATCAATTCTGCTTTAGGAGGTTTAGGCATATGGGTCTATGTCTTATTTAGTATGTGTTTGCATGGAGAGAGAGAAAAGGCTCTGTGCTGAAAATATTGAAAAACCATGTTA